TCTTTTTATACGTCTCATACTTCGCTTTTAATCCAATAAATAAATGATTAGATGCAACAAATGCCCCATGGGCTTTTGTTATTCTCGTAGCATCCGACTTACCAACCTTGAAAATATACCTAAGATATGCTCTCCTTAAAAACGTAACCTGATCAAATAATGTATCTCTTCTTGTAATATATAAATTCACATCCAACATCTGCATCAAACATTTGTACAATTGAACGTATATTTCTGTTCTTGTTTCGGATTTAATGCCATCATCGCCTTTGTTGTATCTATCTTCCAATAAATTAATCACCTCTGGTAATCTCTGAGACATGTATCCTAACTTGCCTGTTATACTGTTTTTAGTTGAATTATGCATCTTGTACTTGGAATCAAAAAATCGATATAATTTCTCAAATTCAGCGTAACTCACTTCAAGCGGATCACTTTTAAAGGCACAAGAGTCTATTTCAATCATTTCCACCTCTTTTTTATACGTATCCCTGTGTTGAATGTACTCCCTCTCCTTATTTCTTATCCTTTCGAAATAGATAGCAGCTTTCACAGTAATTAAGTAGTTCATATGGGTTAATAATCAGCTACGCCGCAATATAATTCTTGATTTTTATAATAGAGAGCATAATCTTCTTGCAAAAAGATACCAACAGATCTCTACAGGCAACCAAATCATTATTTGCCTGAATCATTTCATGTTATTTGGTATTCGTGTAAGAAATTAGGTGTATTTTAGCATATAGCTGTAATCAAATAACAGTAACTCACAATATACCACCACAATTAGGCTGTTATAGAATAATGGGGGCATTCTGTAACATAGATAATTTATTTTCTGCCTGAATTCCTCTTTTAGTTCGTTACTAATATTCTCTAAGTGGTATTTTAAAATAGCGTTGTACTAGCTGATGAGATATTTCACCACGAAAAGTAATATAAAAACAAAGAACCAAAAATTTAATAGAAATACGATATTTCCACGCTTTGAATAACTGTATTGAAGGAAAAGTGTTAAGTGACGATGTAAAATCATAAGGTTTGTATTATATTTTCAATATCAGACAGATATAAAATAGCATTTTCTATCAACCCATGTTATTGCAATTGATCACACTAGTAAGGTGCTCATCATACTTCTCCAAATTGTTAAACGGAATCAATCAAATGGATGAATATTTCAAAGGAAGGCCAGAAGATCCTGAAGAATTGGTTCAGCATGCTCGTATATTGAATAATTTACTTACGAATGAAATAGTAAGAGCAGAAATCAACAAAACAAAAGCAATGTGCGATAACCTAGAAAGACATGCAGATGCAGGATATCCAAATGAAGAAAGAATTACAGAAGCAATGCAATTGAAAGAACAAAAAGAAACGCTGTTGAAGCAAATTGATGGAATTAACATATTCAACATATATACCGTAAGGCTGTTGCGTGGAGAAACGACAGATAGTGAAATTGCAGAGAACCTGAAGTACATCACTAATATTGANGATCCTGAAGAATTGGTTCAGCATGCTCGTATATTGAATAATTTACTTACGAATGAAATAGTAAGAGCAGAAATCAACAAAACAAAAGCAATGTGCGATAACCTAGAAAGACATGCAGATGCAGGATATCCAAATGAAGAAAGAATTACAGAAGCAATGCAATTGAAAGAACAAAAAGAAACGCTGTTGAAGCAAATTGATGGAATTAACATATTCAACATATATACCGTAAGGCTGTTGCGTGGAGAAACGACAGATAGTGAAATTGCAGAGAACCTGAAGTACATCACTAATATTGATCACTATAAGAATATGACAATCGAGAATGTAAAAGAGTTGGATGATGAATTTGCAAGATATTGTGATACAAATGATGATGTATTGACAAATATAACAGAAGAATTAGGTATAGTTGAAAAGAAAATCAAAGAATTCTATGGATACGAGAAAGTGATTCAACTGTATGAAATGAACGAAATCTATGAGAAAGAGAAGGAGTTTTATGAAGGTTTGATTAAGAAATCTTCTGAGATCAAGGAAGAAATGATGGTTGGTACAGGTGCAAGAGAGAATTGAATTGATGATTAACGTCTTTAAGTATGGATTTGTAACAATCAATGAGATATGTTTTTGCCATGATCCGGTCCGCGTAGCGTCTTACGCATTGCTAGCAGAGCCTTTGACCCTTTTCCTTCCCTGGTGGGTCATCAGAGGTCTCGTTTGGAACCCTGCTCAGTGCCTCTGTCTGAGATGTTTCAGGCATGTTCAGTTTCGTTGTCTGATTCTTTCAACTAGTCTTGGCATACTTTTGGTAAGAAATTTAGTAACATTGGATGATTATATGATGTGGCAAACTATACCATTTCCCCCTAGTTAATGACATATCTTCAGGTTAAGACAGTTTATACGTGTTTGATTGATTAATCTTCGTTTGTTTTTTACTAATCAGTAGTTTTGGTGTTTAAAGTAGTAAATTTATTGAAAACAATTGTGTAGGACAACTAGGAATTAGTGTGATTAATAGGTGTGGTGGATTAATTTTCCAATAAGACATAAGGTACTTGGGATAATGACTTGAAACAAACAGTAATCCTTCACATGACAAATTATTTATGAGAGATGAGATGTCTAAAGAGGTATTAGACACCGTGGTTGAAAGTTAATAGAAAAAAGATCTATTATGCTACAAATCACATAATAAGATGGTTTTGACCTTAATAAAACATTAAGAATAGTTTAAATCACTTGTAACGGTTATCAGATGAGCAACTGACTCCATAGATTCATCGTTGGAATGCAATAAGAGAAATTAATGAATAAATACCCTTAACTATAGTAGTGTGAAAAACTGCGTAAGTGTAAATTGAGGGTTCATTTTTCACAAAAACATTAGGGAAATCGATTTTTTTGGACCTATAAACCTCTCAAAACGCAACCATGCAAAGAAATAAATACACAATAGAGTTTCTAGTGATAAAACAGACAACTATATTAACCTTATCCATAACCTTATGTTTCCATGAGCAAGTTCATGATGTGAAAAACTGCGTAAGTGTTTAAATGTGGCTTTTAGGAGGTCATTAAATTAGATTTCATACATATTTAGGTAATATACACATTAATACGTCATTTCCCTCCATTTTCCTGAAAGTATTTGTTTGTTAATATTAACCCTCTATGAATAAGTTGCCTAAAACTATGNTTTTTTTGGACCTATAAACCTCTCAAAACGCAACCATGCAAAGAAATAAATACACAATAGAGTTTCTAGTGATAAAACAGACAACTATATTAACCTTATCCATAACCTTATGTTTCCATGAGCAAGTTCATGATGTGAAAAACTGCGTAAGTGTTTAAATGTGGCTTTTAGGAGGTCATTAAATTAGATTTCATACATATTTAGGTAATATACACATTAATACGTCATTTCCCTCCATTTTCCTGAAAGTATTTGTTTGTTAATATTAACCCTCTATGAATAAGTTGCCTAAAACTATGCTGTCGATCATCAATGATCCAGCAAATTGCAAGTTGTCAAATAGGACATTGGCAAAAATGTGCGGGTGTAGCGAGGGAGCTATCAGAAAGTACAGGGGCCAAAAATTTTTTGGGCGCGTTGGAAGGCCAAAAGCCTTGACAAAACGAGAAACCAATGTCATTTTGCGAAATTTCACGTCAGGTTACCTACAAACCAGTAGCGATGGCGTGAAATTCGCAGCTGATATGTTTCAGAAAAAAATTGATGCCTCGTCAATTAGAAAAATGTTGAAGAGTAGCGGCTACAAGAGCTACAGAAAGTCAAAGGCCCCTGTACTTTCTGATAAGCACAAGAAACAACGACGAAAGTACTATAAGCTGTACAAATCGTACACTTATCAGGACTGGAAAAAATTCGTTTTTACCGACGAGTCCACTTTCAGGATTGTGGGTGCAACTGGGGCCAGACCTACTACAAAGAACGACGTAGTCCGGCCCCTGAGCACCGTATAACCCGAACTAAGAAGTTTAGAGGTGGTGGCCTGATGGTTTGGGGATTCATTTCCGGGGCTGGAATTTTTAAGGTCTATCCTATCAGCGGTATGATGACCTCGGACAAATACATAAGTCTGATTAGGGATAAGGTTCTTGATGACCTCATTGTTTCCGGGGTAGACCTTAATTCCTCTGTCTTTATTCAAGACAATGCCTCCTGCCACAAGTCAAAAAAGACTACAAAGTGGTTCTCTGACTCCAACATTAAGCTTGGCTTTCATCCTGCACAGTCTCCAGACCTTAATCCAATTGAGTTTGTCTGGGGATGGCTTAAGAAACGGGTTAATCACCGGCAGCATGAGATCACCAATCGTGATGATTTGCTTCGGGTGATCCGGGATGAGGTTGGGAAAGTCCCTTCTAGTCTGATTAGGAAACATTTCAGCAATCTTCCTGCTCGGTTGAAGAAGCTGAAGCGAAATAAGTATGACACCATTTAGGGGGTTGAATAAATAGTGATGTGATTTTGTTTTTTGAATATGCAGAATGGTGTAGTAGTATGTGGTAATGACTGTTTCACTAGTGTTTCAGCACATTAACGCTGCACTGAACACTTACGCAGTTTTTCACATCTTACATTGTCCCTAGGTACAGCGTTAAGGGTAATTTTTTACAAAAAACCTATCTTAATAAAGATGATGTAAATAATAGATGTATGTCTAAAAACAATCTTTTCAGTATTAATACTCTAAGTAGAGACATATAGAGGGAAAAATGGGCTTTTGTTAGGGAAAATAGCCCATATTTTACACTTACGCAGTTTTTCACACTACTATATAAGAATAGTAAACTTATTCAGGTTTCATCACATTCATTTTGGTTAAATGGGTATGTTAACTGTCACACATTACATTGGTTGCTTACAAGTTGATATGTTGATAAACAAAGGTATGAANTTAAGGGTAATTTTTTACAAAAAACCTATCTTAATAAAGATGATGTAAATAATAGATGTATGTCTAAAAACAATCTTTTCAGTATTAATACTCTAAGTAGAGACATATAGAGGGAAAAATGGGCTTTTGTTAGGGAAAATAGCCCATATTTTACACTTACGCAGTTTTTCACACTACTATATAAGAATAGTAAACTTATTCAGGTTTCATCACATTCATTTTGGTTAAATGGGTATGTTAACTGTCACACATTACATTGGTTGCTTACAAGTTGATATGTTGATAAACAAAGGTATGAAAGCAAATAAACAAACAGAACCCATCCGGGAACCATGATGAACAATCTAATAAACAGTCACACACATAGATCACTCATATTGCATTATAGTTCGAGACATGCCCTACCAGCCGATCATGACAATTACTGGCTTTAGCATGCACGATAATCATGTTGAGTACAGTGTTCATGATTCAGGCTATACGAAGTGTCGATTTTGTGTCAGAAAATACGATCAAATGTGAATATTATGAATCCATCAAAAAGGATGGTAAAATAGAAGATGTCTATGATTTTATAGCCAATGAACTATCACCATTTCACATTGCCAATCAAGTAGAGCTGCTTAAGCTAAACAAAAAGAGGTTGCCTATTTCATTTATCTCTGAGAATTACAATGCAGTGGTATTGAAATATGAACATNCTACCAGCCGATCATGACAATTACTGGCTTTAGCATGCACGATAATCATGTTGAGTACAGTGTTCATGATTCAGGCTATACGAAGTGTCGATTTTGTGTCAGAAAATACGATCAAATGTGAATATTATGAATCCATCAAAAAGGATGGTAAAATAGAAGATGTCTATGATTTTATAGCCAATGAACTATCACCATTTCACATTGCCAATCAAGTAGAGCTGCTTAAGCTAAACAAAAAGAGGTTGCCTATTTCATTTATCTCTGAGAATTACAATGCAGTGGTATTGAAATATGAACATCAAGGTAAGAAATTGGCTATAAAATACGTAAAACATAGAAGAATAGACAGCAATCATCCAAACGAATTGCACTGTACCAAAAAGATGCAAGAGAAAGAATACAAGAACCTGGTTAGAATTTACCATGTAGAAACAAGAGGAATCACGCATACAAAATACAATCATGTAGTAATTTACGCAATGGAGTATTTAAATACGAATGTAAATGGATACTGCTACAATGATGAAAAGAGAATTGTTGAGTATACAAAGGACATATTGACTGGATTGAACAACCTATATGAGGAAAAATGGGTTCATCTAGATCTCAAACCATACAATACAGCTGCAAAAGTAACAAAAAACGAGCGGATATACAAAATAATTGATTACGGAAATGCAATGAAAATACCTGAAAAAGAAACAAGAATTTATACAGGGAAAGGATATGGAACACCAGGCTATATGGATCCACAATCTCAGTTAAAGGGTGAGTATGGCCATTATTGTGACATATGGGCATTGGGTGTTTCATTGTTAGATTTAGGAATACTGAATAGCAGAAGTACTGAGAATGAAGTATTCAAAATACTGGAGCAAAAGGAGAATACCAAGAAGTTCCATGAATTCATTCGTTTTAGGAAACGGGTTTCAATAGAATGCAGGCATTTTGTGTGGATGTGCATGCAAGAAAATGAGAGAGAAAGACCAAGTGCAAGTGAGNCAAGAATTTATACAGGGAAAGGATATGGAACACCAGGCTATATGGATCCACAATCTCAGTTAAAGGGTGAGTATGGCCATTATTGTGACATATGGGCATTGGGTGTTTCATTGTTAGATTTAGGAATACTGAATAGCAGAAGTACTGAGAATGAAGTATTCAAAATACTGGAGCAAAAGGAGAATACCAAGAAGTTCCATGAATTCATTCGTTTTAGGAAACGGGTTTCAATAGAATGCAGGCATTTTGTGTGGATGTGCATGCAAGAAAATGAGAGAGAAAGACCAAGTGCAAGTGAGCTGTTAGAACATCCATTTATTACGAATAAGAAATTGGAAAATATTGAAATGCACATAACTCACATGCTTAAAATATGTGAATAAATAGACTTTATAGATACGTTTATAAGATCAGGTATTCAGATGTGTAATTTGACCTGATTGATAAAATGCTTTTATTTACAGCTTACGACGTTTCTTTTTGTTCTTCTTTGTGAGCAGATCCTTCAAACCCAAATCCAATATGTGATATTCTTGCCACACTACATACGCTGCATACGCAGTGTATATAGCTTCAGTAATTAATCCAATATCAAATCTAGTGTACGTTGAGCCTATTGCTATGAATTCCAGTACTAATAGTGCAATTAAAATTGCTTCAAGAATGAGTATCAGAGCAATGGTCACCTTTCTTTGTGTTTTTGATTCTTCGTTGATCTTGTATGTAACACTGATTAACAACACACCTTCCAATACCAAGTTAATCCATAAAGATATTTGGTATCCAGTGTATCCAATGATAGATGTAGCAACCACCAATGAATCAATTGCGTCTTGTGGTATTCTAAGAGAATATAAGCTTAAAAGTCGAATGATTGTGTTAGAAAGAATGATCAGGTATCCGAGACATAGTGCTGTGAGTCTATTCCTCTTTCGGTATGCATCAATTAGTTTTTGGTTTCTTGTTAGTGTTGATATGTAGCCTGTTGATACAAATCCAATTCTTTTGTAAAATGTTAGTAGAAATACTGATTCTGATGCAACTGCTACAAATAGAAGTATGTAGAATACTAGACACCCTACGTGATCTGCTTTTAGCAACTCAAACAGTGTCTGTATGGATAGCAGTATAATTGCAGTAAGAAATAGCATCAATATAACTATTGTGTTTCTAAACACATCAACATCTTTTTTGAGTAGCGTATAAGTTAGACATACAAAGAAAATTGTGTTGAGTAGTAGCAGCCTTTCAAGTCCGAGAGCTAAGAAAAATCGTTTTTCAGGTGTCAAGTCTTTTCCTAAGCAAAACCTAATAGCGAATAGCATTGCGTTCTTGAAGATAAGAGCCCACCNTAGAAGTATGTAGAATACTAGACACCCTACGTGATCTGCTTTTAGCAACTCAAACAGTGTCTGTATGGATAGCAGTATAATTGCAGTAAGAAATAGCATCAATATAACTATTGTGTTTCTAAACACATCAACATCTTTTTTGAGTAGCGTATAAGTTAGACATACAAAGAAAATTGTGTTGAGTAGTAGCAGCCTTTCAAGTCCGAGAGCTAAGAAAAATCGTTTTTCAGGTGTCAAGTCTTTTCCTAAGCAAAACCTAATAGCGAATAGCATTGCGTTCTTGAAGATAAGAGCCCACCTATGCCATTCAACTCTGTAGTTAACTTCTTTCTGTATTCCTAGAACACGTCTCATAGGACAATACAATGTATGGATTAAATTATACGTTATTAATGAGCATAACAGTAGTAAATATTTTGAATATTTGTAAATATATGGGTTATTCAGGTTAGATTTTATAAAACCGTATAAGAAAAGTGAAAATGTGGAACAGTGGATAGGCAAATGATTTTTAAATGGTGTACAATGTATAAATATGCACTAGGTTACCACCTTCATGCTTTGAGCATTACGTTTAACAAATTATTAGACCCTAAAATGTCAAGATTTTTTCATGTAAATGGAAATGCATCAGAAGAAAACAAGAAGACTGAGAAACACATTGAAGAGAAAGAAACTCAAGAGATTCTTAGTAAACAAGATAGAAAATTAAGAGAAATTGAACAGAAAGCAAAGAGTTTGATTGAAATGACCAATACCAAGCAATTTGAGAAAGATTTTAGAAAATTCATTCAAGATCTAAAGAAGTACGTGAACAAAGGAAGTGCATTGCCTGATATAGTACAGGAAGTATTCAATAAGGCAAGTAGCAAACAATCAATCAAACTCATTGATGAATTCAATAATTCGTTAAAAACAGTTGAGGAAGAAACACATGAAATCAGTCGAAAAGTAGAGATCAAACCAAAAGAACTTACCTTATCAGAAATACTTGATTTAGAAGATGAATTAGAGAAAAGAACATTGCTAGAAGAGAGAATAGATAATATAGAGACGTTATTATCACTCTATAACATCTATGCAACGAACAATGAATATGGTAAGATGATCAATATTCTAAAAAGAGTGAAAACATTCAAGTGCAACAAAGCAGAATACATCAAGAAGAATATTAGGAAGTATATTCAGAAGTTTATTCAGTGTGATGATTACTGTGATGAATTACTTGAGTTATTTGAGATGTATGATTTACAAGATGAAATACTCTATGTAAAATACTTCAAGCAGAACAAGATAGTTGAAACAGACAATGAATTATTCAAGATGGTGTATGAAATCAAGCAAGGTAACACTGATGGTATTGATGTCAGCAACTGTAACAAACCAGATACAATGATAGAGTCAATTGTATATGAATACCTGGCAAAAGAACTGATTAAGAATGGTGATTATGAAAAGGCATTATCCCTGTATGAATTATTCAATGACAGATTTGATGATGATAAGCTCATTCTAACACTACTAACAGGTAGAAGAGAATCAGAAATATTCAGAACATTTCTAGAGGAATTTAAAACATTTGCAGAGAATCCATTTCTGTTGAAATCAGGTGATAGAAGAATGGAAATTAATATAGCATTTTATTTGATGAATCAGAATGTGATGAGTATCAGTAGAAGTATCCTAGTGAATCTCCTGAATAAGTAAACTAAATAATATTTTTAACCCATATGACCAACAACAATAATCCTGAAGAAGAGCAAAGAGGAAGAGGGAGACCTAGAAAGTATCAACCATCCTACGTATTCAAGGCACCTGTCTATAATTCACCACTAGGCTATCAATACACATTACCAATTGCATCCAATGTGAATATCACATTGGCAACTGCTGTACCAACAACAGTTAGAAGCAGAAAACAGTCAACTGTAGTACAATCGGAAGAATACATTCTTCAACCAAGAACAAAGAGATCTGCTGCAATCAAAGCAGTTCCAACAACAAAGAAGAAGAAAAAGACAGCAAGAAGTGATTCAACTGAAACATCAACGACTAATTTAACGTATGAGTCCAATACGGCTGAATTGGAAGATGTCTATGAGAAATTACTCGATAGAAAAGATGGACAATTTCTGGTCAAATTTAGAAACAGAAGTTTCTTACACTGTGATTGGGTAGATGAAAATGAGATTATGCNCAGTTAGAAGCAGAAAACAGTCAACTGTAGTACAATCGGAAGAATACATTCTTCAACCAAGAACAAAGAGATCTGCTGCAATCAAAGCAGTTCCAACAACAAAGAAGAAGAAAAAGACAGCAAGAAGTGATTCAACTGAAACATCAACGACTAATTTAACGTATGAGTCCAATACGGCTGAATTGGAAGATGTCTATGAGAAATTACTCGATAGAAAAGATGGACAATTTCTGGTCAAATTTAGAAACAGAAGTTTCTTACACTGTGATTGGGTAGATGAAAATGAGATTATGCAAACTAAAGCAGGAATAATAAAAGTGAAGAAATACAGGCAACCTGAAATAATTCCAAAAGAATACACGAGTGTTGAAAAGGTATTAGCAGAAGGAGAAGATGATGAGAGAAAAGAGACAGTTCTAATAAAATGGTGTGCTTTACCAATAGAACAGAGTACAATTGAATTAGTTGAAGATGTGAAAGAGTGTATGAATTACACAAATGAATTACAGAAGTACAGGGAAAGAAAGAAAATGAGACACTCAAAGTATCCTATTGATTGGAGACCTGACAAAAGTAAGCAGGCCAAATACACTGAATCACCAGTCTACAAGAATGGGAATAGATTGAGAACGTATCAATTGGAAGGTGTGAATTGGTTGATTAATCGTTGGTATTGGAAGACAAGTTGNAGTTGAAGATGTGAAAGAGTGTATGAATTACACAAATGAATTACAGAAGTACAGGGAAAGAAAGAAAATGAGACACTCAAAGTATCCTATTGATTGGAGACCTGACAAAAGTAAGCAGGCCAAATACACTGAATCACCAGTCTACAAGAATGGGAATAGATTGAGAACGTATCAATTGGAAGGTGTGAATTGGTTGATTAATCGTTGGTATTGGAAGACAAGTTGTATTATGGCTGATGAAATGGGACTAGGAAAGACTGTTCAATCAGTATGTTTTGTAGATTGTTTATCTACTGAATTCCAATACAACCACCCTGTGATTGTGATAGCACCATTGAGTACTTTGGTGCATTGGGAAAGAGAATTCAAGGCATGGACTGATTTGAGGGTGTTGACGTATCATGGTACAGTAGCAGGAAGAGAGATGTTGGCTGAATATGAATTCACCAACAAGACAGGAAATATCAATGTGAGACTATTTGATGTGATATTGACGACGTATGAGATGGCAATGAGTGGAATGGATCATTTGAGTCAGTTTGAATATTCTGTAGGAATAGTGGATGAAGCACACAGACTTAAGAATCCAAAATCAAAGGCAGCAAGAAGTTTGAACAGTCTCAAAATCAATCATAAGGTGTTATTGACTGGAACACCAATTCAAAACAACCTGAGTGAATTATGGGCGTTATTCAACTTCATGGACAGTAGCAAATTCAGTTCACTGAGTGATTTCTTAGAGGAATACAAATTGAATGACATCAAAGATGTAGAGAAGTTACAAGAATTATTGAAACCATTAATGTTACGTAGAATGAAGGAGGATGTTGAGACTACGATTCCACAGAAAGAAGAGACCATTATTGAGGTAGAATTGACGATAGCACAGAAAAGATATTACAGGGCAATACTGGAGAAAAACTTTGAGTTTCTAGTTGATTCAGCTAAGAAGAATGTTCCTAATTTGATCAATGCAATGATGGAGCTTAGGAAATGCTGCATTCATCCGTATTTATTGAAAGGAGCAGAAGATGTCTGTATAAGAGAGTACCTGAAGAGGAAGAGTATCAGTGACAATGAGTATCAGATGAATAACGATCTATATTACCAGATATTGATCAATAGTTCTGGTAAGTTGGTACTGTTGGATAAGTTACTGACTAAGTTACAGGGAAAACACAAAGTACTCATTTTCAGTCAAATGACAAAATGCCTTGATTTGTTGGGTGTCTATTTGGAATACAGAAAATTCAAATACGAAAGAATTGATGGAGGTGTAAGGGGTGATTTGAGACAAGCAGCTATAGATAGGTTCTCAACAGAAGATTCATTTGTATTCTTGTTGTGTACACGTGCTGGTGGAGTTGGAATCAATTTGACTGCTGCTGATACCTGTGTGATATTTGACTCAGACTGGAATCCACAGAATGATTTACAAGCACAGGCTCGCTGTCATAGAATAGGTCAGACGAANGAAGAATGTTCCTAATTTGATCAATGCAATGATGGAGCTTAGGAAATGCTGCATTCATCCGTATTTATTGAAAGGAGCAGAAGATGTCTGTATAAGAGAGTACCTGAAGAGGAAGAGTATCAGTGACAATGAGTATCAGATGAATAACGATCTATATTACCAGATATTGATCAATAGTTCTGGTAAGTTGGTACTGTTGGATAAGTTACTGACTAAGTTACAGGGAAAACACAAAGTACTCATTTTCAGTCAAATGACAAAATGCCTTGATTTGTTGGGTGTCTATTTGGAATACAGGAAATTCAAATACGAAAGAATTGATGGTGGTGTAAGGGGTGATTTGAGACAAGCAGCTATTGATAGGTTCTCAACAGAAGATTCATTTGTATTCTTGTTGTGTACACGTGCTGGTGGAGTTGGAATCAATTTGACTGCTGCTGATACCTGTGTGATATTTGACTCAGACTGGAATCCACAGAATGATTTACAAGCACAGGCTCGCTGTCATAGAATAGGTCAGACGAATCAAGTTAAGATCTATAGATTGGTGACTAAGAATACGTATGAAAGAGAGATGTTTGATAAGGCTGGAATGAAACTTGGATTGGATAAGGCTGTTTTACAGAAGATGGGTGTTGAAGAGAATGTTGGTGAAAANGATAGGTTCTCAACAGAAGATTCATTTGTATTCTTGTTGTGTACACGTGCTGGTGGAGTTGGAATCAATTTGACTGCTGCTGATACCTGTGTGATATTTGACTCAGACTGGAATCCACAGAATGATTTACAAGCACAGGCTCGCTGTCATAGAATAGGTCAGACGAATCAAGTTAAGATCTATAGATTGGTGACTAAGAATACGTATGAAAGAGAGATGTTTGATAAGGCTGGAATGAAACTTGGATTGGATAAGGCTGTTTTACAGAAGATGGGTGTTGAAGAGAATGTTGGTGAAAAAGAGACTACAACGAAATCAGAAGAAATACAAATGTTATTGAGAAAGGGAGCATATGGGGCATTAATGGACCAGTCAGAAGAAGAGGATAAGTTTTGTGAGGAAGATATTGATCACATTCTAGAGAGAAGAACAAGAGTAGTGAGACATGAAGAAGGAGGAAATGTATTTTCTAAAGCAACTTTTCAGGTTGATGAAGGAATTGATGATCCATATTTCTGGGATAATTTATTGAAGAATAAGAAGACAGAGAATAGTGAAGAAAGGATTAAGAGATTATGTAGAAAGATAAGTAGAGAGAAAGAGATGGAAGAAGATGAGCATAATAAGATGAAAGAACTGTTAGGATATTATAGAGATGAGGTTGATGAAATTAAGATGAATGAAGAGAAGGATTTGAAGGAGCTTGATGCAAAAGAGAGGGAATTATTTGTGATGTTTTTAGATGTGTTAGTGAATGGAGTATCAAGAATAAGTAGAATGTGGAGAGGAAGTAAAGATAAAAACAGGGATAGGAAGAGTGGGAAATTTATAATTTTACAGGCATTATACAAATATTGCTTAGATTTGGTACAGAATGAGAAAGGTAAGTTAGATTATATGGTAGGGATGGATGAATATGTTGGAGAATACGATGTTGAATTATTTGAGCAACAATCAGAGATCTATGCGAAATATTACGACAGATTCCTGTATCTGATTCAGATACCAATTCTAATAGAGAATATTAAGAAAGACGTTAATTTAGTTGAAAAAGGAAGAGGATTTAGTAAAGAAGATGATATGATAATAGCGGAGAAAGTAGCAGAAATGGGATATGGTAAAGTTGTATTGAAGAATAAGAGTGCAGAAGAGGTGAATCAAAGAATCAGGAGAATATTGATAGTGTTGTATCATAAGAAGGAGATGGATGAGAATGACAATTTGTATTTGAAAGCTATTCTGAATTATGGAAGAGTGACTGATTTGAATAAGGAACATGTTGATAGATTTATAGGATGCAAGAGTGATAAGTTGGAAGAATTGATTGATCAGATATGCAATATGAGTAAGAGAGCAAGGAAAGATACACCTGAAGCAGATTGTTTTGATAGGATCGAGTTCTTTGACAAATTGAATGAGATTGATAATTTCATAGTGGTTAATAATAGGAATAGGAATAAGAATGTGATAAGAGGATGGAATGAGAAGAAGGATGAAGAATTAAGGGATTTCCTATTGGTTGAAGGATTTGGAAGAGTTTATGAAGAATTTGGTATAACAGAAGATGTAGCAATGAAGAGGATGGAGATGTACATGTAGTGAGAGTGAGTTATTAATGGTAAGAGAAATAAAAGTGGACTGATTTATGTGATGTAAAAAATAAGATTTTTTTAACAATTAGAACAATCATGGAAATGGTGTTGTTTATGTCATAGACAGAACCTATGCCATTGAACCTGGTGTAAGGGAAGGTATTTTACCCATCATTTTATCAAAAGTATTTCAGGAATACTTCGAAGAATCAGATGTGGAAGAAGGGAACGACATTGATAAGGACCTGGACACTCTCTACTGTCCTTACAGGATAATCTAAGATCTGTAGAGCGTGGCAATCTGATAAAAATTACTTGTTGTGTTAGAAGCGTTTGGTGAGTAAAAGATGAACTGGATGTGCTCAATATATTAGAATAATACGTAATTAAGACAGTATTGAGTAAGAAGACACACGGGTATTTTTTGGTAGTTCAGGTTTTTATTAAGCAAAACAATAGCATGGAATAAAAAGTGTATTATGTGTTGTGTTTGAAGAAAAGAGTAGAATGTGATATAAGGTAGTGTCACGTTGTGTTCCGGTTCGCGTAGCGTATCCCATATTGCTAACAAGCTTCAAGGTTATCTTGTATGGAATCTGGATCACTATGGCTTGGATGAGAAGTGGGAGGTAGAGACGTCACTTGTCGGGACGTCTCATGATTATATACCAGTTGCAAAAGTACCATAGTTTCATCTTTTAAATTTTCAAAGTATTTATGTACAATTTTTGGTAATATTAGATAAACAATGTGATTTTGGTGTTTCTCTTAGCTTATGATATAGTTCTAGACTACGACAGAGCTTATTTAGGATGTAATTCTTAGTTCTTGTGCTTGTTTTTGTCATTATTAACATACATTTACATGAATTGTGCATCAAAATATAGTTTTTTTTATTATTTTTGATTCAGAAAACCTGAAATAACGTAAAACAAATATATATTTTACATATTGCAGAGAAAGACTTGTTCTAGATGTGGTATTTTATGTACGAGTATACTATTATGATAAATACAGCACGCATTATACTCAAAGAAGGTGTATTGAAGCGAAAAACATACAGTTTTTTGTGCTCAAAACAAAAACTTTTAAATAAATGTAGAGAGGCAAAAATAACACACGCAAGGCTACAACCATCTCATTCAATACCAGAAAATACGGAAGAAATAACAAATTTAGAAAGACTCAAATACCATCAGGTGGATAAAACTTAATACGCAGTAAAATAAATTCTGTAACAACATTAATTGGTCTGATTTGCTTTCATGCACAACACTATTACATTTCTATCCCTAACTTAATCATCTTCTGTAAGGAATGGGTGTGATAGTAATTCTTCTGCTGTTGGTCTCTTTTTCGGATCTTTGTTTGTAGCTTCCTTTATGAAAGATCTCATTTTCTCAGGAATTGACGCATTGAAGTCCATTTCAAATCCTGTAAATTTTTCCTGAATACTTTCAGCTAGTCTTGCTTGTCTCTCATTATCTGTCATCATTAATGACCAAGCAGTCATTCCAACCTGAAATATGTCAGCTGCAAATGATACGTCATATTTGTTTAGTACATCAGTATACATTGGTGCATAAACATACATTGACTTCATCAATCCATCTCGGTACAAATACACTGCTGATTCCATATCAAACAATTTCCAGGTTATTTCATTGCCTTTTCTGATTCCTTTAATGTTCATCGGTCTGATGTCTAAGTTTGCTGTCTTAAACCTGTGCATATACTCCAATGCACATAAAACATCTTTTAGCATTTTTCTGATCATTTTGACATTTCCTTGTATTTCTTCAGTGTCTACATCCAAATATTCCATTACCATCACGCAGTTAACCACATCAACAGGTCGTTGTGTTCCAAACAGACGTATCTTATTTCTTGCTGTAACTGATGTGTAAACTTTGGCAATGTTCTCGTGTTTTAGCTGCTTAAACTTCTCTATTTCATTCACTGATTCACACTGTATTCCCATGGCAATTTCAAATTTCATCTTCACCAGATAACGTTTAATACCATCATTTCGAACTAGGATTCTTGCATTTCCTTTGTGTTCCCAATCCATTGAACTTAGGTTGTAATTGTCTGCTAATACTGCCATCTTACTTATATCAGTCTCCCTCATCACATATTGAATTGCCTTTGCAGTATAAACTCTGAGATTCGAACGATTCATCAGGTTCATTTGTGATTGACTTAGCCGGGTACTCTCTTCAACAAATGGTGATGCAAGAATAATTCTGATAAACATATGGGTATTTGTTAACAACAATCAAATATATTAAGTATTGATGATTGCAAACAAACAATCAAATCATTTTGTTAAAATAACCTGATTTAGAATGCTACAAATGCCATGTTTTCATGTGAATACTTCTCAACAATCTATTAAAACAAATACATAAATTACAATACTATTTCATCACCATTCTTCCTTTGAATACTTACCCTATTCATGTTAGACATTAGTTTGTTTAGAAATGAAAAAGATCTTGAAAGAGTAAAAGAGAGTGAAAGGAAGAGATTCAAAGACGTAAGTGTAGTAAGTAGAGTAGCAGAAGTTGATGCAGAACTAATCAAAGCACAATATGAATACGAACATCTCTGTAAGGAAATTAACACCAGAATCAAGAATATTGGAGTTGAATTGAAGAAGAAACCATCTGATAAAGAGACTATTCTGAAGAAATACGATACGTCAGACCAGAAAGAGACAAAGTTAGAACTCAGTAGACGTATTGAATCACTAACATCCGAATTATCAATTAAGCTCTCTTCAATTGGTAACATTTTAGATGAAAGTGTTCCAGTCTCTAAGACAGAAGATGGCAACAAAACAGTGAGAGAATATCACAATGAGAATCTCCCAACCACTTCACTACCATTTGCTGAGTTGATGGCACCATTCACCAATTCAGAAGCAGGATCAGCCGTATTTGGTCATAGAGGATATTTCTTAAGTGGAAAAATGGCACAACTTGCAACTGCCCTGAAAGTATACGCTGGTACATTTTTACATCGTAGAGGATTCACTCCAATTCAAACTCCTGTGATGATGAGAAAAGAAGCCATGAGCAAAACAGCACAGTTGAGTGATTTTGATGAACAATTGTACAACATCACTGATCAAGAACTCTATTTAATTGCTACATCAGAACAGCCATTGACTGCTCTATTCATGAATAGGCGACTTACAGATGCTGATCTTCCAAAATTGTATGCAGGTGAATCACTCTGTTTCAGGAAAGAAGCTGGTGCTCATGGGAAATACAGTCAAGGGATATTCAGAGTTCATCAATTTGAGAAGATTGAACAATTTGTGATTTGTAAGGCAGAAGAATCAAATGACTATCATGAGAAGATGATGCGTACAGCTGAAGAATTCTACGAATCACTTGATATTCCATATAGAACTGTTCTGATTGCATCTGGTGAGATGAATGATGCTGCATCCAAGAAATATGATTTAGAAGCATGGTTTCCTAATGCTCAAAAATTCATGGAATTGGTTAGTGCTTCAAATTGCACTGATTATCAATCAAGGAATCTTAACGTATACTATGGATACGCAGCTAAGAAAGGACAGAAACCTGAATACGTCCATATGTTGAATGCAACTCTTTGTGCAGTACAAAGGACACTTTGTTGTATTGTTGAGAACTATCAAACTGAGGATGGAAGAATAAGAGTACCAGATGTGCTGNACAGAACTGTTCTGATTGCATCTGGTGAGATGAATGATGCTGCATCCAAGAAATATGATTTAGAAGCATGGTTTCCTAATGCTCAAAAATTCATGGAATTGGTTAGTGCTTCAAATTGCACTGATTATCAATCAAGGAATCTTAACGTATACTATGGATACGCAGCTAAGAAAGGACAGAAACCTGAATACGTCCATATGTTGAATGCAACTCTTTGTGCAGTACAAAGGACACTTTGTTGTATTGTTGAGAACTATCAAACTGAGGATGGAAGAATAAGAGTACCAGATGTGCTGAAGCAGTACGTTGATTTTGAATTAATTTGATTCGTTCATACACCGTTCTAATGCCTGTTTTATCTCTATGAATTCATCACTTTCCAAATAAATGTATCCATTCATACCTAATGCCAAGCAATATGATTTAGTTGGTTTGAAATATCTTCTGATTTCCTCTTGTACATTCATAAAATGAAGCAGTTGCACTTTCCAGACATCCATTTGGAACACGAAATCAATTTGACCCAGGTTCATTTCATTACAAGTTAATTGCAATTCATTTCCAAAGATGCCTGTTATTTTGGCTAGTACCAAATCACCTGTATTCAATTCAGGTCTATTCTTCTTAGTTGCATTTGTAAATGATAGAAATGGCAGTATTCCAGTGTACATACTGTTGTGTAGATTCCCATGTGTCACATTAACTTTATAATAGTCATTTTGAATAGCAAATACTCTTCCTATCACAATATCATGTACCATTGGTCTGTATTGAATTGTTTTGGAAAAATTGAATAAAATTCTTCCCACTTTATACAGTTTTCCATCAGTTGTTGCCTTGTTATTCAGTATATTCATACACCTACGTCCTTCTTCTATGATTTCATCACCTGCTTTCACATTCCTTATGAATTTGAATTCTTCTATCTTCTTAAACAAATCAATTTCCATTTTTATACCTAAAATTTCTTGATTTTTACATATTTACCCTAATAATTTATTCAATAACAGATAAGGGGTTATTTTAAAAAATCTCATTGCCAAAAAGGAAAAAAGGACGATTTTTGCCAGTTTACCCAAAAAAGAATCGGACTCTAACTAACTTTCTCTAACGCCCTTGGTCTTAGGTTATCTGGTAGTATTTAGGATGTTAACTAACTTTTAGCATATTGCTTTATCCCTAGGCGGGAGGGTAAAACATTTTATCCCTATGCACCAGGGTAAAACATTTTCAACTAAAAAGTTAGTTATGCACATATTTTATCCCTAGGTAAGAGGGTAAACATTTTCAACTAAAAAGTTAGTTAAACACTTGCTTTCTACCCTTGTATTTTTTACCCCATAAGATAATCTGAGAGTAGGTCTTTTCGTTGGCCTGAGAGACTCCTAAGCAATAACTAACTTTTTGGCAACCTTTTATATTTCAAACACTTTCAACCTAAAAAGTTAGTTAATATACCAGCCAACTTTTATGGCCTAGTGTGTAGGCATAATGAAATCTAAACCCCCAAGGCAAACATACCATGTACAAAATTTGCATTCAAATACACCCCTCTCTTAAGAACAATATTATACATAGATGTAACCAATCAATGGAAGACTTTGAATTAGCTAATTAAGAGAACTAGATAAGTTTGTGAAGATGGAAAGCCTATGTGTCATAAAAGAAGTAAATACAAAGGATATTGACATACATCGAGTCATATTAAGATACACACGATTTACATGTGGTTTATACATATAAATTGATTACTTAGGGCTCTGTAGAGATATATTGTGCTATATTATAGAGAGTATATGGTACTACACACACACTCATCTCATCCTTTCTTAACAACATCTTTAGTATATTTGTACAACAGTCATTCGGTCAAACAATCAAGGTCTACAACATCTAGATAGTCATCACGCACAACCCCACCAACAACATACAATTTTCTTCCATAGTGAATTCATAGATGACTCTTGTGGGCAGGATAGACTCCATTAAAATAAAGTCACATGGTTTTGTTTAAGAAGGCACACATCACTCGTATCATTATAGTCAAAGGTAAAAGAACACATATCCATCTCTCACTTATATTCTCTTCTTTCTTTAAGGTCAAAACCAGTGCAATTGTTGCACGGCCAATAAAGCGTATAAAACTCAGGCAAATACTCTGTTCGATTAAAGGGGTAATAAGTTATAGGGGGATTTAAACGCAATTTTTTTATGGTTAACTTTTTTATGTATGAGTATGTATGCATGTGTACGAGTGTGCATGAGTGTGCATGGGTGTGTAAGCATGTGCACTAGTGTGTAAGCATGTGTACGAGTGTGCATGGGTGTGTAAGCATGTGTATGAGTGTGCATGAGTGTGTAAGCATGTGCATGAGTGTGTAAGCATGTGTAAGCATGTGTATGAGTGTGCATGGGTGTGTAAGCATGTGCACTAGTGTGTAAGCATCTGTATGAGTGTGCATGAGTGTGTAAGCATGTGTATGAGCTTTTAATAAGCATGTATTGTGTTTGTATCTATATATGCGTATGTAAACACGAAAATTTTGTATAGTGAATTATGTNTGTGCATGGGTGTGTAAGCATGTGCACTAGTGTGTAAGCATGTGTACGAGTGTGCATGGGTGTGTAAGCATGTGTATGAGTGTGCATGAGTGTGTAAGCATGTGTATGAGTGTGTAAGCATGTGTAAGCATGTGTATGAGTGTGCATGGGTGTGTAAGCATGTGCACTAGTGTGTAAGCATCTGTATGAGTGTGCATGAGTGTGTAAGCATGTGTATGAGCTTTTAATAAGCATGTATTGTGTTTGTATCTATATATGCGTATGTAAACACGAAAATTTTGTATAGTGAATTATGTCACAACCTACGATAAGTGAGAGGGGATAGACAGTTCAACATCACCATGAAGTTTAGGATGAGGGGCAGGATAACAGGTGAGATGAGGGGCAGTGCAACAGGTAAGATGAGAGGCAAGATAACAGGTAATATGAGGGGCAAGACATATAAGAGATTAGCATGCATCTAAATGGATGCATAGGAGATTCAGACTCAGATTCAAGAATATATAAAAAGGCACTGTCAGAGCAGAAAATCATAACAGAGAGTTGCACTTCAGAACAAGAAACATAGAAGAGAGTACAAGGGAGATGACACACACCAGTTTTGTAAGGGCCCGTGAAATTCTTATAACAGAGAAATGGTAAACCCTACAGTGTAAATTACCCTTGTTTGATCAATTCAAAAGAACAAAGGGGTATACGAATCCTGNGGCAAGATAACAGGTAATATGAGGGGCAAGACATATAAGAGATTAGCATGCATCTAAATGGATGCATAGGAGATTCAGACTCAGATTCAAGAATATATAAAAAGGCACTGTCAGAGCAGAAAATCATAACAGAGAGTTGCACTTCAGAACAAGAAACATAGAAGAGAGTACAAGGGAGATGACACACACCAGTTTTGTAAGGGCCCGTGAAATTCTTATAACAGAGAAATGGTAAACCCTACAGTGTAAATTACCCTTGTTTGATCAATTCAAAAGAACAAAGGGGTATACGAATCCTGTGTAAAAACACACCAGAAACACTGGCTTATTGCAACATACAAACCCATACAGAGACAATATAACATACGATACATAGAGGGAACATTGTAACAACTACAGAATACATCAAAGTGGTTAATGAAACGTGTAATAAGCAAAGTAAGATGGAGAAAGCAAAGGTGTGTAGGGAAGGATGTTAATATGAAGGTTGGTAAAGCTTATATGTTAAAGAATCATCCTAATTTGTGACAGTTGAAGGAGAGAAAAAGGAGACAATAACTTAGGGAAGAACCGGAAGAGACAAGTCACTAAGAAAACCCTTAAGATAAGACCGGTTGAGCGAAAGAGAGTAACACACGTAGAATTGAAAAGCCTAGGTAGTAAGGGTTGGATTTGCTGTATGAAGTACTGGAACGTTTCATTTAGAGTTAAGTATTTATTTATTGTGTGTTTCTTATATACTTAATATGAAACGTATGTTTCATTATGTTTCGGATTATTATATCCAACAGTAAGGTCACAAAGTTGGAGGGGCACGGAGAGTAAGCAATGATATGAAGAGAATCCACAACACAGAGATCGCAGTAGTGTAACTCGTGACTCATGAACAGGAAGTGTAAAACATGTCAGGATGGTAGAGTGCAAGAAACGAGATAGTTGCTCAGATCCAGAAGATACTAAAGAAGCATCTTGCATGGGAGCAATACGTAATGAGAGACTGGAAGAAGAAAGGATAAGAAAGAAACATCCAAATAATGGAGTCCTTTTACAACCACATTGGCAAGGTTGCGGCAGAACGGTACTTAGAGGCAAATAAACAGTGCGGTGTTTTAATCATAGATTTATTATAGAGAATATGACGGCTAAGATTAGTAAAGTAGATTGACGTGACCTAGGGTCAGTCAAGAAGATTCTTCTCAAAATTTACCCATGGTCCAACCAGAAGACGCCCACCCGAGAAGAGGAAGAGCTAAAAGATAGAAACTCTGAAGGATGCGTTACAAGCAAAAGTATCTTAGGGACGCACAACCCGTTGGAGGCAGCCCAGAGTCACTCGATCAAAAGCAGGAGACCGATCAAGCGGTAAACGCAGGAAAGCCGTATAAGACTGAGGAAGATGACAGCAATCCCTAAGAGTGGATTGTGTGCAGCCTAGAAATTTAAGGAAGTTGAGGTTAAAGAATGGGACCAGAAGAACTTGAGGCTCCAAGGTAGAGCTAATGGCTTATGTTATGAAGGAGCTCCATTGGG